TCTATTTGTATTATACATGCACAGCCAATCCTAAGTCCATTTTCGATCCATCTGTATATATTATTGGTGGAGATAATTGACTGGTTGGAGGTTTTATTGTGCTATACATTTTAGGGTTAGAGGCAGGATGTCTTCTGTAGGGGTTGACTGAAGTTTCGAAATTGTTTGGATTAAATATTTCATCATGTAATATGCAGGATTTTTTTAAATTTGAGGATTGTGGCTTTTGCATGTTCAGTTTGCGCTTATATATGAAGAGGTACTATTCCTGAAAGTACGCATAGGACAGCATTTGATGTTGTTTTATAACATTTCGTGATCCGGAGAAGGAAGTGACGTTGTATGGCTTGCAGTTGTTTTTTGTTTCCGAACAGTCATAGGTTGCGCCAAAATTTCTGCACCGTATAAGACTTTTTTTGTTATTACTGTATTGAAATTATTTTTAATTCCAATATTATTTTACTCAATATTACTGTATTGAAATTATTTTTAATTTTTGGAGTAAATTTGTTATTACTGTATTACATGTATTGTATTGGCTTTGTCAGCGATGCTGACCGTTGTGATATTTCCTCGCTCAACTCTGAGACTTACGTTATCCGGCATTAGCCTTTTTGCTAGTAGAATCACTCGCGCATTTAGTTAGAGTCGAGACAACGCTTATTTTATCTGGAATCCCGCAAGCTGCGGAGATTTAAAATATAAGCACAAGCCGCGCATCTGTTCATTTTACGGTTTTCTAAACCTTCTTTGACTTAGTCGTTATTTCCATAGACGGAGCCGTAAGTCGCTTGACAATCTCAGAAAGATCCAATTTAAACTAATTAAGGCATGGAACTAAAACTAAATGAACCTTTAAACAAGACAAGCGCATGCTTAAAACATTTAGGGAAAGAGGGATCATGAAAAGATCCTTATGAATCCAAGGAAAAGAGAAGTATAAAAAAAATTTCCATTGCCGGTTTTACCATGGAATAGATATTGCAACTAAACCGAAATCAAGAGAGAAAGAATGGGGGGGGGGATCTTACGTTATGCCATGAATGTATATAAGGCCTGCAACAGTTTTAATCGGACCCTGAATGGAACCCTACACAGGTTTAGCAGCCTCATACATACACTTAGCTACTGGCGCAACTTAATTCATTCTGGAAATCTATGGTATGTATTATGCTTGCTTGTTTGATTAGTTACGGCAAAGTACGTGAAAATTATCTACTTAAACATTGCTTTCTTGGAGGTGTTCCAAGGATAACAGACTCGTACTCACCTTGCATTTGAAGCATTGGGAAAATCTACGAAAACGCCCATGCAGCCAGACCGTTCGCCTCAATTCGAGCATGGATCGAAATATAAATACTCATTGATCTTATACCCACTTAGGCACAGATAGACCAGTAGATATCATGTAAACAGGGAAAACATCTGGGACATTGACTGTCATATTATCAGAAGACTAAGAATAGATTCAATACTTCAAAAAATATCAATTATATTTTAGTATGTTTGTTATTCTATCTTCAACTGCCAAGAAACTTACTTACAAATTTGAAAAATGGCATGTGTAAAATTGTAATCAAGTACGCAACACAAATATTATTTATTTATAAGTAGAATTTCATAGTTGTTTTGAAAGTATATATATTTCAGAACATTTTTGCCCCGCATGAAGCATACAAAATAAATAAATAAAATAAGAACGAACATTTCAGACAAACATACTAAAAGTCTTATCCGCATCTACTGTTATATTTATCAAATTAGTTATAGGTACACGAAATAATATTAAAAAAAAAAAAAAAAAGAAGAGCTCAATGTTTAAGTTGAAAAAATGTTACTTTCAACATATAAGTTTCTAAAAGGTTGGATATCCGTAGATATTTTTATTAATATCGAAACCAAAACCCTGATAAGTAGTTTCGACTGTTTTTCGGAAACTTAAAACAATCTAGAATTATAATACACGATTGAAACAAATTTTGGTTCTCCAATCCAGAACCACTTCTCTTCTAAAACTTTTGGCAGTTATCACCTCTAGCTCTTTGGAATACCCATTTAATAACTATGCAACTTCCAGATGTGCTAAATTTTGCCATGTAATTAGTTCACAACAAAATCCAAATCGATATTCTAGAGTTGTAGGTCCGGCAAAAATATAAAAACCAAGGAACTACCGGTTACCTGCTGAAAAGCAATTAAAACAGCGTGGGAGTGACAGAGAACAACGCTCCGGCGGGCTTTAACTGGGCAGGTGGGTAAGCAGTAAAAAAGCCCTCTCTAAAATCATTACTTCCTTATTCATTACTCTCTAAAATTCATTAGCTGCGGGGCGCGTCACCATTTTTCACGTCGAATCGACGCTAATGGTGCGGAAATTAGCTTTGTCGGCCCGGGATAAATGAGGTGCCTTCGGATAGGCCTATTTTAATGTTTGCCAGTCCTGTGGTAGAAGAGGGCCCCCAGAGATTGGCGAAAACAAACTGCGCCCGACAGTGCAGGCGAAAGGGCTTTTTGGCGCGATTTCTAGATTGCTTATATTTATAGATGTTGCAAACATGTTAATAGGATAAAGTTTTTAGACAGAAATTAACAAGATGCATGGTTAATTTAAACTGGACTTGGTTACCGTGGTAACTTGACGTTGCGTTATGATGACGCGCTGTATCGAAAAAAAGGCAGCAATTACAATACGTTTGAAAATTGGTTCTGTTCCTTATGAAATTTGTACACAGTCCAGTCACATTAATGTGACCACCACGTACTTTCCATGTCAGAGTCAAATAACCAATCACAGAAGGCAGGTGGCAGCACAGTGCAGTTGAGCGTATATAAAGGGTGTGTGAGTGCTTCGGAAAACATTTCAATCGTTGGCGTAATGCAGAAACGAAGCGATTTATCCGACTTCCAAAAGGGCATGATCATTGGCTTTCGGGCCAAGGGTGGAAGCATTCCGAACGGCTGAGTTTGTGAACTGTTCGCGTGCCACCGTGGTAAAAGTGTACCGTGAATGGCAAAATGGGACTGTCCAAAATCAGCGACGTGGCAAATGTGGTGCACACGGGCCATAGATGACAGAGGCGAACGACGGTTCGGAGATGCGTTCGGGCAGATAGACGGGCTACCGTTGAGCAAACTGACCACCAAAATGAACCAAGGGGGTACCAAAAGTGTCTCCCAAAGTACTATTCAGCGAACATTGCTGCGTCTGGGCCTCCGAAGCAGACGCCTGGTCGTGCACCTATGCTGACTGCTGTCATCGACGGCGAAGGCTAGAATTTGCACGCCAGTACAGCAGCTGGACGTCCACTGAGTGGCGACAGGTTGCGTTTTCGGATGAATCACGTTTTATGCTCCATCGGACAGATGGACGTTGGCGTATAAGGCGTGAAACCTCTGAAAGGAACCCACCCTGCAACCATTGCCGGAACGGTCCAAGCTGGAGGCGGGAGCATTATGGTCTGGGGAATGTTTTCCTGGCAATCTTCTAGGTTCACTGATCATTGTGGAAGGCACAATGGATCAATACAAGTACGCATCTGTCCTTGCGGACCATGTTCACCCCTACATGCGCATTGTTTTTCCTCAGGATGATGGCATCTTCCAGCAGGACAATGCGAGGTGCCATACAGCTGCCAGTGTACGTGCGTGGTTCGAAGAGCACCAGGATGAGTTTACCATCCTCCCCTGGCCAGCAAACTCACCTGACTTAAACCCAATCGAGCATCTGTGGGATACATTTAATTACAAGTGAACAGCTTTTTTGACTGTTAAAAATTTATAAAAAATAATAGATTGACGGATGAATATCTACAATCCACGATGAAGATAATTTCCGATAATTTTTTTCCCGAGGCTTTTATCAGAATCGCAACTCCATCAAACGTCAGGCTTTAGTAAGAAATTAAGAAGTTTATAATTACTTAAATATAAATATATATATATTTATTTATGCCCTGAAATATTTATGCCCTTAATTTAATGAATGAGAGAAATATTGTCATTATTTATTCTCATGTTTTGTTCTGCTTCGAAATTTTTCTTTGAAAATGTTTTCATAAATTAATTAAATAACTTGTTTATTTTTATGTTAAATTAAAGTAAGTTATTTAATAATTAATTAGCATATTAAAATTATTTGAAATAAATGTCAATCTGAAAATTTAATAGCTTTCAGTATGTTTCAGTTACTAAGTGAAACCAACAGAAATTTCTTGCAATATCACCTTTTGGATTTCGTATTAAAAAATAAGTATAAATTTGAATTTTTTCTTTTGCGTTATTATTATTATTATTATCTTCGTTTATGTACGTTTTGATAAATATTTAATAAGAGAAATTTAAAATTTAGTTTAAATATTTTTTTTATTTTGGCCATGAAAGTTTTCCTTTTATATAAAAATAAATAAATAAATCTTTTTCAGATCTAGCACTTGGCCAGCGTACAATTTGTGTTTGAGACTACTGTATAATACTATAATTCTAAGTTCCAAATAAAGCCAAAATTGTTGCATCATGAAAGTTTCTTAATAGAGAAATTCTTAGTACGAAAGTCTTAAATCATTCATTTTTTAAACTGGTGGCTGTTTGAGTGATATTTAGTCACGTAATCCTTTTTTTTTTTTTTTTTGAAATACCTCAATTCCATTCTCCGCAATAATAGTTTTGTCAGGTCCTGTGGAAAGTTAATTCTATTCATAGTGTCTTTCATATTTTACAAAATTTCTAAGAATAGTAAAATGCAAATAATTTGTTTCCTTATTTTGGCACCTTAAAAAATTTCCAAGCTTAATATAAATATATTATAGCGACAAATATTTAGTCACAAATTCAATATTTTCATCACTTTCCATTTTTATTTGTGATATGACAGCAATTAAAAATTCGCTAAACTTATTTATAGTTATATCAATTACTGAGGAACATTTTACCATATGTCATATTATTATTCATTTCAGAATGAAAGACATATAAGAATGGTAGCAGACGATAACATCTGCAAACACAGCCACAGCTGGCATTCGCATATGAATTGACACAACAATGTACAGTTTCTTTAAACTGGTCAAATTGCTGAAGCTTATGGCTGAGAGTGTAGCATGTTAGCATTGTTTGTGGTGCTCGTATCAATATCCGCTGGGGTCGAAGGTCACGGGACACATTTAAATAATCACCAACATCGCATTAAAGAACTGAAGGAAAAATGGAGTGTAGACCATGTGATCAGAGATATAGAGTAAGTTTGGAAATGAACAGTTTTATTTTTGTCCAAAATTTTAATCAATGAGTGTAAAATCTAACACATGTGTTATTTATATAAGCAAACGATAATTCCGTAAGTGGATTAGATATAACATATGATTTATAATTAAGACTTTATTAATTATTCTAAGATTAATATATATTATTAGATATAACATATGATTATAATTAAGACTTTATTATTAATTATTCATAAGACTTTATTAATTATTCTAAAAATATTTATGAAATTTTTCAGTTGGATATATTTTATTAATACTATGAACAAATATGTAGAAATATTTTAATATTGATATTTATATCAATTATTGGGAAACATGTTATTCATATGTAGTACACTTTTTACACTAAGCAACGTACTGTCATAATTTGAAAGACAGAAAAATTATTAAGAAATCCGTGCATTGTTATTAGATTGCTAAACTTATGACACTAATAAGTAACCCAATGCTAGATAAATTTGAAATCTTATACGCAGGTATGACAACAGTTCTTGGGACTATAAGTATAAGTAACTTATAGTAGTTTGTAATTTTTCGAAGATACTGCTGTGGTAGTAAATCTGGTTACCAAAAATGAAAGTTTAAAATTAATTTCTCTCTTTTTTTAATTGTTTCCCTACCAATATTTTCAATTGGGTATCTACAAAAAATTTTTTAAATTTCTCATTTTTTAACTTTTACACTATATAGTTCATTTATTTGAGTTACTATTCGTATAGAAATTGATTTAAAAAAATATATTTTTCTCAATAAAACAATATTATTATTTATTCTTATTCTAAATAGAAACTGGCATACTCCTAAGTTTTCTTAAGATGGAAATCACAGAAACTAAAAACAACTAAATTAAAAATGCAGAATAATTATTTGGGGATTACTTAACACCTTTTCGAAGTATCGAATATTCAGGACAATTAAAATTATGTTCTTGGTCTATATTTTCAAATTAAGACAAAAATTTTTGACAGATCATTCATCCTCTTCTTAATCGTAAGTGTACTTCACAGGCGGCATCTTTTAACTTCATTTACCTAATACGTAATTTATATTTTTAAATCATATCGTTTGAGATATGATAAACGGTACATCTTTAAACTCAAGTTCTTTCAAACATAAAAGATTTCTTTTCTTGGATGTAAGCAGTTTCTGTACTTTAAACAAACAGTTTTTATGAAATGAATCAATTTTTTTTCTGATCAACCATCATTCTTCATAAAAAACATTTAAAAAAAGGCACTTTTATGATTGCAGAGCTTTAATATACAAAATTGTAAGAGAAATATTATGTACTTCCTTTCGAATCAACAGCCATTGAAAATTGCAAAACAGCATGCTAAAACACGTTGGCTGTCAAAATGTCTTTTCATTAAAAGCAAACAGTTATATCAATAAAAAGCTTGTTAGATTAGTAAAAATTACTGGCGCAAGACCAAAAATGGTTATATTGTAATAAAAAGTTTGATTTTACAGAAAAATTTAATTAGAGAACGTTATTAAATGAAATTTAACATTATTGTGTCTCCCTTTTATATGCTAATTACTTTAAGCTACCTTTCATGTTCTTAATTTTTATAAGCTTTGATATTCTTCAGATAGAAACAGGGAGGTTTTAGTTTTGGAGTTTGGCAACGAAATCGGATCTTCTGTTTTCAGCTGAGAACGTGTGTTAAATTGGTTAAGTGAAACAATTATGTTATCGTAATTAAACAATCATATATTCAATTTATTTTAAGTCTATAAATTGTGATTCTCGTATTTAGTTCATTTAGAATTTTCGTGTATTTGTTACCTTTGCTCACATTATTTGCTGACTGAGATTCATAAAAATAGCTTATGGAATTTTTTTAGTATGAAAATATAAAATTTGTTAATTCTTTATCATTATTAATTCCTTATTAATTTGTTATTCTTTATTATTATTAATTATCTCTTTCAGCGTAATTCGAGCTAATTCTGGCATTAAAACTACACGCGTTATATCTAAAAAGTATTCTATATTACATCATTAAAAAAGAATTCTATATTAAAATGCATTTTCTTTAAATACTTCCAAAATACAAATTAAGTAAACAGAAGTTTTTCGCTGGTTAATTAATTACAGGGAACCTTTCTGTAGTCGAATAAACGGAAATGTGACTACTGAAAGAGACGGAAACAGGAATAGCGTAGAAAGACTTGTTCCCGCAAGAACATTAACCATTTTATTAGTCATTTGTTAGGGGAAGGATATTGGAGTGACAGGATATGTAGTTTAACGGCCACTGAGACTAATAGCTCGGACAGGACTGTTGATCTTATCGCCATGGTTACAACACAAAAATCGAAAAGCAAGCTGTTATAATAAATCTTATTCTCGAGCTTATGAAATCGTTCTGCTGGGAATACAGTAATCTTGTTTACTCAGTTTCGTCTTACTTTCACGAAAGTTCAGTAATTATTTTCAATTATATTGCACATTTTGAGAAAGCGTGCTTAAAAAACTAAAATAAGAACTTTATATATCTGTTTCCTCTTTAGAACAAACAGTTCCCTATTATGATCTTGAATCAAAGAATAAATTATTGTTTGTAGGAAAGGAAAATGTTCGTGAGAATGCACTACGATGAATCTTCGATCTGGAAACGCTCTTATACTTGCAAAACTTTCCTTTGATTATATTTACCACGGAGTTTACAAGGAGTGCATTCTTAGCTCCACGATATTGGTGGTAGAATAGTGGTGTGGCAGAATGACTTACGGTTTCAAAACATTAAATCAGTGAATTAGTCATATTGGTTTTCTATAATTGTTACAAAGTGTTGAATGAAAAGCATTGAGCATGCCTCAGTTTCTTTTTCACGATATTTCATGAAAGGGGCAGCTCTGAGCTAATTTTCTGAAGATTATACATAACGTGTTTCAATCCATTTATGGAAGCTAAATCAAGTTCGTGGAAAAAATTTTATTCTCAAAATAAAGATACGTATGGCATTCTACATAAATTAGCAACTAGGAAATTCTTTGTTCCCACAAAAATTACGCTTCCTAACAAAGATCACGCAAGCAACAGCAATAGTATTCCTGATTCCCAGATTCTGTCTCAAGAAGCAGCAACCAAAATCCTTGAAGCTATCTTCATGGATGACAATTCAGAAGATGACATAACCGAGCAGAGAGAGATTAGACTTTCCAATTTCTCACAGAATCGCTCAAAAGACTTCCCCTTCATTCTACAAGAAATTAATAATATTATCAAGCATCTCAACAATAAGAAAGCCGCGGGCCCCGACTCTATAAACAACAAAATTCTAAAAATTATGCACAATTATGACCCAAGAATCCTTCTTAATTTCTTCAATAAATGCTTAGAATTGTCGACCTTTCCCGATAACATGAAGAAAGGACAAATTATACTTTTCGAGAAGAATGATAGGAACCCCGAAGATCCTTCTGCATTTCGGCCAATAAATTTGCTTCCCGCCATAGGAAAAGTTCTAGAAAGACTTATTTTCCGGGCGGTTGAGACATCACTTTATCAAAAATCAAACAATTCAGTAAAACACCAGTACGGATTCAAAGCCAACACAAGCACTATTCAATGCAATTGATAAAATACTGAAGCAAATCCAACAGATATAAATCAAAAGGTGAACATAGTGCACTTATTTGTGTTGATTTGAAAAGTGCCTTCGACTCAATATGATGGCCTTCAGTATTACATGCACTTAATAAAGCCAACTGTCTTTTTAATCTTCTTTATATTCACATACATTACTTTCATAATAGAGAAAGCATATTTATTCATAACAACATGATAACCAGCAAAAAATTTACTAGAGAATGTTCCCCAGGATCCTGCTTGAGTGCTGATTTCTGGGCCCTCACCTTTAATGACGTCTTAAAATATGAATTTCCCGATCATACGAAGATCTTCGCGTTTGCGGATGTAGAGACATCCTCGAAAGGAATGTGAAACGTTCTCTCAAACAGCTTAACATAGAATACCAGAGGTTGAAACTCTGCATTTCGCAACTGAAGTCCAAGGCTATACTTTTTAACAAGCCAGGCCAAAAGCTCTTAAGAAAGCCCACCTTCACCCTGGACGGAAAGAAAATTAAGATTACCAAAGTCCTGAAGTTTCTGAGTATCCACATAGATAACCAACGTAATTTTATTTATAATCTCACAGAGACTCAGAAAAAGACAAATAAATCGCTAATAATTTCAAAAAAATGCTAGGCAGTAACTGGGCACTTCGTCCTCATATTCAAAAAATTTTATTTACAACAGTAATTTCAAGTACAGTTAATTATGGGGTTGCAATCTGGGCGAAAACTAATACAGAAAGGAAGAAAAGGAAACTTTTCGCCATTCAGAAATTTTTTCTCCAGAGCATCTGCAAAGCCTATAGAACGACAGCTAATTACTCTCTATGCATTCTCACTGGGATTCCTCCCCTTCATTTAATTGCGACGAAGGCTTCAATGAAAGCCAAAGTATTCCAGTTGAAAGAAGATGCTTACCTGAACGGCACCACCTTGAGCCTCCAGCCATACCTTTGACTTACCATCCTGCAAAGTATTGCAATTTAATAATCAATACGGACGCATCAGCAATCAATAGTCAAGAATGTCCAAGAGCATTTACAGACTGCTCTAAAATTCATGGAGAAGTGTACGCAGCATCAGTAATCTATTTATCTTCCTCTATTTCAACAATATGGCAAGGAAAACTATCTCCAGAAAACTCTGTTTATCAAGCTGAGCTGTCAGCAATTCAATCTGCAGTAAATAAAGCTATATCAAATAATTTCAGGATAATAGCTATCTATTCAGACAGTCAATCTGCATTATATACCCTGAAGGACAGAAACAATAAGAACCAACTGGTTCAGGATATTCAAAATACAATAAGTGACCACTTAGAAATCCAGTTTTTCCTCAATTGGGTGAAAGCCCACAACGAAAACGACGGCAATGAGGCAGCTGACCTCCTTGCGAAGGATGCAATGACTAACATCAACAGTGAGGTAATTCATGTCCTGTGGCCCAAGTCCCATTTAAAATTTACACTGAATGCAATTTTCGACTCAAAGTGGCAAGAAGAGTGGGATTCTGCATTGCAAGGCAGAAGAGTCCACATTTTTTTCTCAAAAACTGGCAAAGAGGCACTACACTATGACCATGTTCTGAATCAGTATATCACAGGGCACGGTCCTTTCCCACCTACTTTCATGACAGAGGCATGTGCCCCACGGATCTCTGCATATGTGGCGAAAGGGGTGACCTTGATCATTACATTTTTTACTGTAATCTAACAGACGGCAAACATCTGATTAAGCCTAACAACAATCTAATATCATTTAAGAAATACGCAATAAAGAACAGGCACCTTAGGGCTAAAATCAGAGTCGCTCTTATACATATCCAAAGACTCGGACTGGATATTTGTCATATCTAATGCTTATTCATCTCCATATGTTACTAAAATATATTTATCCTTTTTTTTTTTTTTTTTTTTTAAATTTTATTTTAATGTTTTAACAGTTTCATTTATCTACGCAATGCCAATGAACGGGAGCTCCAAAGACTTGCTTATTACACCTTCCGCCTTAGAAAAGACATTTATTCTTACATTTAAACTTTTGGAAGCATCAGTTGCTGAACTTTTCAAGGACAGTCTTTTCACAATAGGATTTGTTTACACTATTAATACCAGAAGTCAGTTATCTCAGAAAGTCCTCTCAAGTGGTTAATGGTAAAAAAAGGAGGGGCGGGAGGAGCCTGTTCTCCCTCAAAATTGGGGCGGAAAGTTTAACAGTTAGCTAGGTTCAGCAATACCTCAACTACCTGTGGTACTACGGAGGTGTTGGCCTAGCTTCTACCTGTACCTGTTATAATCATTAGCTTTAGTATTTGGTCACAATGAATGAAAGTACCTCTTTGTTTTGTGGTGATGGATTTGGAAGATGTCTCCGTGACTATACATTAGAAAATAATAGAATTTTGAGTTAAACCTTCATAAAAGCCGTCGTAATGGAATACTTGATATAATACAGTAGGCATAGGATTACGAAATATTTATCCATGCTTTCAATGTTTCGCTTCAAGGCAGTGACAGCTAGTGATCAACAAAGTGCGTTATGCGTGTTATGCACATTGCAGTTACGGATGTCAACTTGCATACCCATGAGAAGTTAGTGAACAGTGGTTACTATATACTCTTCTCGAAAACCGTTTGTGGACCATGAATAAGAAAATTTGACACAAAAACAGTGGCTTTTTTCCACGGCATTGCTCGAATCCATGTTGCTGCCTTGGGATTGACAACATTGTCCGAAATTGAACAATCAAAACTAGAATCCCGTTGTATATAACTGAAAACTAGTGAAATATGACTTCTGGGCGTTCTCAATATTGAAAAAGCAATGGGGAAAACGTTACACCGGCACTACTAAAAGGGATGTCGCAAAACAGTCTATTTCATGTATTTGAAACAATAAAAAGCTGACAAAATTCTAATTCAATATAAAGAACTCATTCTGAAAAGAGCGGCCGAGCGGTAAAGTCGCTGAACACTGGTAGTTCGGTTCGAGGTTCGAATCCCGCGAACGGGCTGGCTGCATGGGTGTTTTCGTGGTTTTCCCCATGTGTAACGTGTATACGAGCCAGTTTCCTTTAAAAAGTACTCCACGAAGGCATTTCTCCCCTTAGGAAGATAGCCCTAGTATGCTTTGCCCTAATTAAATACACCAACACCATACACCATTCTGAAAAGGACAAAATACTGAGTTGTATAATTCTATTATCAAAATCAGTTTGAAAACTCTTCAGTTAGCTTGCATATATACTGTATTCTTGAAAACATGGTTAGCTTGTATAACAAGCCCCTAAGTCCGGCAGAAAGAGATCTTATATCAAATGGAATAATATGGAGATTTGCTCTGAAGCAAAACAAAGTATCATCTTCTTGGGGCTTTAACTGTTTCTTCTGTGTTCAGAATTTTATTTTAAACTGGTGTACAGGATCTGGCCAATTTTGAGGAAGTCATAGCAAATGTACATAATAACATGCGAGTATGATAGACAGTTGTTATAGAGATTTCAAAGGAATGTTAATTACTGCTGGACTGGGAAACTTAGGGAAAACATGCTCTTCAGGAATGCCAGTATAGTACTAGGTCATATGATTTGAGGAAAAGAGATATAATTTTGTTTTATGCTCTCTAATTCCGAAATTGGCCAGTATGCAATATTGCACATCTTGTATGCGTAATGCCTGTATTATAGTGCTTGAAAATTTTAGTTTAAAAGGGTTAACCTAAAACAATGTCAAAATAAATGTTTGGAAATTGTAATTTATAAAGTTTTGCATAGAGTTTTTTCTAAAATTAATTTTGTATCATTCACTAACAGTACTTCTTACCTTTAGGAATGATTTGAAGTTTTATTCTAATTTATTTTTAATTTATTTATTGAACTCGTTTTTCATTTTCTTTTCAGCCACATTAAGGAAGATTTGAGTGAAATGATGAACTATACTGACGAAATACCTGATCATGAGATGCTGTTTTTCATGGTTAGGTAAGATTGCAAGTATTCTTAGAATTTTATGTGATTTTTCACAATCCCTTTGATGTGATGTAACGTTATTCGCGGAAGATGTGTGAACAAATGCAGTTCAAGTGGGGAAAAAAAACTGCTGAGCGAATCTTTCTTGATAAATGGAAATTAGATTTCTTGTACTGATTACACTTTTTTTTTTTTTTTGTTTTGTTTTGTTTTTTTTTGTTTATAACCCCTTTCTGTTATTTACGTATTATCCTCTCTGCCAGCCAAGTTGCGTGATTTAGAGTCAAATTTTAGATGACTTACTACCTTTAGAATTCAGCAGTAACGACTGGCGGACTAACTGCCAAATCTTCCACCAATGGTCGACGGGATAATGCGTAAGACCCCCCTTTTTTTTTCAATAATTTCAATAATTTTTTTTCAAATCTCTCACATTTATTTAGGGGCAGGACTGCTACATTGCAACATAACATTTTAATAATTGAAAAATTCTACAGTAGTTTATATAAATAGTTATATAATTAGCCAAGAGCTATAAATTATTATTTGAGAGCTATTAGACAAGAGCCATAAATTCTGGATTGCATGCAGTTAAATTACGTTGTTACTGTTACGAACTGTTACGAATAAATTACTGTTACGAACGAAAATAACTAAACAATTCCTAAATACTGTGACCTCGTTAGCTGTTATTCCACACATTTTTACTTCCTTGTACGAAGTAAAGAAACATTTCGGGTATCATATATCATATATCAAGGAAAATATCCATTTTGACAGCTCTCGAATTCTTTTAGCGATGCTTTTAAGTGACATCTGACATCTGTACGAACGGATATAATAAAGGACTTTTCCCCCCCACCAAAACGAATTGTAAAATGGAATTAAAATGGATTTAGAAGTGATTCTAATCATGACGTCTTTACGTACGTGTGTATGTATCTCGCATAATTCAAAAACGAGCAGCCTCAGAACGCTTAAGTTTTGTATATGGGACTGCTATAACATGCTGTTGTTCATCTCCCTTTTTGGTTGCAATCGGCCCCACCAAACGTATATATATATATATATATATATATTTAAATTGGAAAGGCATTTAAAACCTAGGAAAAGCTATTAAAAACACCTGAAGTTATATATTTTAATTCCGGAAACACCTTTGTAAAATAACTAACTAAGTAACAAATTATGAACTAGAAAACCTTTTAAAAACAACAGAAAAATGTGAAAAATCGAGCACAAAAATATATTGTCAATCTTCTCTGTTCAAAGCTTCAAACAGAACTTATCAAGGGAAAAGTGTTTTGAAGCCTCAGCATACAAACATGTTTCGTCCAACAATCCACTGAGACTTCAAACGGTATTAAGCGAACTCTAAATTCGTTACTAATTTTAACTGAACAAAAGTCTCATTAGATTTGCCTCTTTTCCTGACATGTCTGCGTGTTCTAAAGCATTAAAAGTTAAAAAATATATTAAGTTAAAAAATACATACAAAATACTACATAAACCTAAAATTAAAACATAATAAAAAGCAAATCTTAAATCATAATTAGCCTAGTAAGGCTAGCGATCTAATGACAAGTAAATGCAAAAGAATAAAAATATTCAAATAATTTTCAGATATGAAAATTAAACTTGAAACTCCTTTGCAAAAATAACACACACAGATGTATAAATACAGTGAAACCTCGTTACAACAATATTTTAGGGACCAAATAAATATATTGTTGTAGAGAGGCATATTGTTATATCCAGGGCCCACATATTTTGAGCATTTAATAAGAGTTTCTTTTTTTTATTATTATTAGTTTAAGGTGCATAACATACTACTTTTAAGTCTATATTTAGAAGAAATTAATTTGTAAAATACTAATAATAGTGGTTTAAATACTAAAAAAATAAATAAATAAGATAAATTCAGAAAATAAGCACAGAAATATTCACATACCTGAAAACACGTTTTATTGAAAATAATCCAATATTTTTGTTTGTTTATTGATTTTTTTAACGGTTAAGTTCACCAATACTGTATGCATTGAGTCTAATGCACGAAAATGTTCTTCATTTGTCGACGGAAGGCTTGAAAAAAATGTCCGTAGAGAATTCACAGATTGAAGAGCTTCCTGAGATGACAATAAGGACTGCGATGGACCTGTATTATCATCATCATCAATATCATCATCATCTTCGTCATTGTTTCCTATCTCATCAGTAATTTCAGAGAGAATATCTTCATCAGCAACTCCTGCGAAAACCACAAGATCATCATCTGCTGTTAAATAGTCTTCTATACTAATTCCAAACTTTTTACCGCTTGTTTCCTCAAGTTGGGATACGGATTTTTTGATGTGCAAAAAACACATTCTTGATCATCTGAGAGATCATTGTCTATGGAATTTTCATCATTATCAGATTTCTTATCTTCCATAACACAAAGACCGGCCTTTTTTCCAGCAATTCCGAATGGTTTTTTCTGTTACTTCCCACCAACTTCCAGCAATATTGTCACACTCTTCCTTGACATTTACAGCTTTGAAAGGGTCTTCTACTTTATTTTCAAAGTTTACAAGTATGGAGTCCACCAACCGTTTTCTGTAATATCCTTTGAAGCACTTAATTATGCCCATATCAAGAGGCTGTAAAAATTGAAGTGCAATTGGCAGGGAAAAAGCGATTTCGATTTTCGATATTTGTAGCTTTGGAAATGACGTGTGAGCACCGCAGTTATCTATCAACAAAACGATTTTTTTCTTTCTCTTCTTCTTTCATTGTCTAACTTCTGTAACCATTCGGAAAAAAAATTTAGACGTCATCCAAGCCTTCTTATTTGCTTTATACTCCACGGGAAGACTTTTCACGTTCTTAAAGCACCTTGGCTTCAATGATTTACCAATGACGAGAGGTTGTATTCTATGCGTTCCTGTGCTATTTGTACACAGAAGAACAGTCAGTCTCTGCTTTGATTTCTTCCCTCCATAACACTTTTCACCCTTGAATGCCAATGTTCGATCGGGTAGGAGTTGGAAAAACAGCTCAGCTTCATCTGCATTATAAATGTCTTCTGGAGCATACTTTTCTAAGATTTCTTTCATCTTGTTTTGCCGCCATTCATTTGCGTCGTTTATCGGGGCTGACTTTTTCTCTCCGTGAACTTCTTGGAAAGTTATTCCATGACGATCTCGAAAACGCATTAACCAACCATTGCTAGCTTTGAAAGTTTCGTTCCCTAGCATTGCTGCAAATTTCCGTACTCTTGCACATAATAAAGGTCCATTTATTGGGACATTTGTTGCTCTCATCTCTTGAAACCATTTTAAAACAGCAGCATCAGTGTTTTCATTTGTCGCAACTTTCAGTCGTTTTCGATCTGGGTTAATTTCATTTGAAGTTACAGCATTTTCGATTTGCTTTCTCTTCTTTAGGAACGTTGCAACTATAGATTGCGATAATCCATGTTTCTTAGCCGCATCAATCTGCTTCATTCCCTCATCAATATCATTGATAACGTTCAGTTTATCTCGAAAAGATAGTTCCTTTCGCCCTGCCATCTTAGGGAACAATATCGCGTGAAAGAAAGAAAAGTTTAAACCAAATGTTTCGCCTAGAACTCAAAATCGTTAAAGACTATAAAACAACCTTTGAACTCACTTTTCAGTACGTCATTTAACAACACCCAGCCTCCATCTTCCCCTGTTCCTCTAACAAAGGGCACTTGTTCTGTGACAAGGTGACCAGACAGGTCTAGATGTCCTTAAACCTTATCAGAATTCCAAAGCTTACTGGGAAATGAGACTAGGCATACATTTATACTTCACCCTCCCTCACCCACTCCAATTCCCAAAAGGGAGGTCTTCATCTGTTTTGAAATCTGAACAATAGCTATTTTTTCAGGGATAAGTTGAATATCCACAATGAGTCTTAATAGACGGAAAAAATAACAAAAGAAAACGAAAAAAAAAAAAAAAAAAAAAAAAAAAAAGCATTTGAAAATCAAAATATTATTATAAAGGGAGAAAATAATACTGAAATTTAGATTGAAAAAATCGTTTTACAGAGGTTTATTGTTCTAGAGAATATAGCAATATTGAGGGGAGATTAACATTAGTTTATATGCAAAATCACCGGGACCACAAAACATTATTGTAGTAGAGGGAGTTATTGTTGTATCGGGTATCGTTGTAGCGAGAGTTTACTGTATATATACCCCCTTTGTTACCCAGTTTGGTGAATTGGGTGTTTTTTTCTTATATGTTGGTAAATTGTACATTTATTGCCTTAAAATGGATTGAATTATGTTGTTCTGATGTTTCGGTTAAGGTTTTATTCCTTTAGTTAATCTGTATGCAGTAGTTGTAGAATTATCAACAATTTAAAAGTTGTCTAAATAGTTTTTAAACCTTACAAAGCCACCATTTGTTTACATTTAAAACTATTAGAAGGACAGTGAATTAAGTCAGTTTGTGCACCAACTACAGAGTCTTTTTGCCAAGTGGGACAAAGATAAACTTTCAGTTTTGTGCACCGAAAAACTGTCTTCCTCCACGCTGGCCGAATTGCTTCTTTTTGCGTAGAAACTTTAATTTTAATTGTAAATATTTTTTTTTAATTGTATTTGATGTTTTATGTTTGTTTGTATTTTACAATTTTTAATAAAGGTGTTTTGAGTTTTATGTATTTTTGCCTTGACGCGAAGTGAGAACTGATTTAACTGAACGTTAAATATATCTCTAATGAAATTCGAAGATATAAGTTTAAATGAAATACGGTAAAAATGTGCATAATTTAATAGACCTTACAAGGAAATTATGCGATGTCCACATCAGATGTTTTGTTTTTAAATTTTCCGTAGACTGTTGGCTTTGTGTGGGATGGCTGTGATAGAAATTCATATAACATACTTAATTTTCCATTAATTTTGTTTTTCATAAGAACCGTTCTGTAATAAACAAACTTAAATTTGTTACACATGGCCTGATTAAATCGTAATCCAGTTAACCATCTTAGGTTAATCTAGGGTTCAACTATGTTAAATGTTCACTACCAATTTAAAAGAATCAGAAGCCATTTCATTAATTCTTCATCAGAACTGCATAATTTCTTTCCAGAATCATTTATATAGCATTTTCTGATAAAAATATAATATTAGAAACTTATTTTTCTATTTGAATTATGTTTAGATATGTTTTACATATTGAAATAGTTTTATTATTGATTTGTGCATTACTTTCTATCTTACTATCTTATAGTATATAAAGAAGAATGTGTGTATGTTTGTCGCGGTTAACTCAGTCACTACTATAGTATCGTCACCAAACTTTCTACAATTCTTTTCTGCGTCCTGGAAAAGGTCGAGGTTCACTAAAAAAAAAAAAAAAAAAAAAAAAAAAAAAAAAAAAAAAAAAAAGTTGACCTTTAGTTAGCCGAGATGTTAATTAAAAACTTGGAAAACACTAATTTTCGCACTAATTATTCCGAATGGCAACAGTCTCGTGCGTTAGACATAAAAATGCTTTATTTCGAAAAGTGTTGCTGCTGCGCTGTTTTAAATCGTAGAGTTTGTTACTCGTTATTAATTTCTGATTAATTATGATCAATTTTTTGCCACATTTAATCGATTAAAATTGAATATAAGTAAAATATTGATTGGAACTTGAGCTTTTACGACCATTTGATTAGAAAGACGAAAATCATTAAAAACTGCGTTCCATTGTTGCTGATAATGAGAGAGAATTAGATTATTTTCCTATCGAAATTTTTTATGTGCACTCCATATTGTATCAGACTGAAAAATGTATTACTATGAATCGTATTTTTTGCATCGCTATTAAAGAAGGATTACAACAATATTGTTCTATCCGTTGTTGGAGGCATTATTCTCAATCTAACTTAAGTGTCATCGGATTTTTCCGCTAGTTTTAAATATATTATTTACATCAGTATTTACGAAGATAAATTGTTTTAGACTTCGACTGTAAAGTTTAAATGTGTTTCTCTTTGTATTCTTTGCTTCCTCATAATCAAGTGTAACAGAATATCATTTGTTATTACCGGTTTTAAAATATAATTACAGGTATAACACTGGTATATTATTCATAAGTTACAAATAAATTAAACAAACCAAAAATAATAATTAAAAAAGAAAGAAAACTGAAATCTTTTTTTTTCCTCGATTAAATATCATAAAATATAAATTCAGGTATATAGTTACAATCTCTGAATTCTTTAAAGAATTTAATTATTTTCCTTTTGTACTTTTATATACTACTTCAAAGTTGCAAATTTATTGAAATTTCAAAACATTGCGCCCGTACATTTGCTCATGAATGTCGAGATTTCTACTGCTTCTGAAACCTTTTTTCGAAAGCATCAATATTGATTGTGTTAATCTTGAAATGTTTTCAGTTTTTTACGTGCATGTATGTCTGCCATACTCTAATTTGGGAAGATCTAAATGTCTTCTAATTTCAGAGTTGCATGTCAGTTTAGACTTTAATGATAAAAAAAAAAGACATACAGATACAATTTGAGTGGAAAAAAAAATTGCTATACCCTCTAGAATTTTATTAGTAACTTTTTTATTAAAAATGCAAAATACTAGCAACTCAGATTATTCAAATTATTTTTGCAAATGGTTATGTCTTTGCTTTTCTCCTAGAAAAAAAAAATGTCAGCCATTAAAAGACGCATTTTCATTTAACATCTTAAAAGATTACTAAAAATTTCTTTTTTCGCTTTTTGTCCATGCAATTGCAATTCAAAAACACATCTAAAACGCATTTGAGGAAAAAACACTCAGCAATCGATCGCAGTTAATTACTCTTCTTTCTAATGCTATGTTATCTTAACATTCTCGGAAGTTTTATAGAGACAGAAAAGTATTCATTAACTGCCCCCCCCCAAAAAAAATCTGCAAGCTTTCAAATTTTATATTACGCCCAAAAGGGGCGTGGTTTCCCCCCCCCCTATTTTTCTATAGCGTTGCCATTGCTCGCTTTGAAATCTTTGCGTTTGTTAATCAAAAATTCTTTAAAGTTTTGCAAAATATGGAATAGATAATAAAACAAATTCCAAACTTCAAATGTATGCTGCCAGATGCTCATATTCAAATAGAGGACTACGTTATTCAAAATTTGATGTCGTTAGGTACCGTTGTTTATTCACAGTGGGAGAAACATACATACATTCATGCAGATTCTTCCTTATTTAATTTCTTTAAATATAATGCAGGGCTCTAAAATTTGGTGGCTACAATTTGAAAAGTGAAACGTCATTTCATAGTGAACCAACGCAAAATGCCAAAATGAAATTAATAACCCTTCTAGGCTAATACTCTTTGGGGTTAAAAAAAATGTTTTCAGTTATGTACGTAGCTTTTATTTAATATTTTAGTATAACTGTTTGAAAATCGCTTGGTATCTAACTTGAGTTCTTTTTCATTATGTGGTTTAATGGCATAATGAAAAAAATTAAAGTATTGTGCATGATGATGGAATCTGATGTATTTAAACTTAACTCCAATTAATTTTCTAGCATGCTTTTTTATAATTCATAACTAAACTTTCAGAACTTTGTTCTACAAATTTCTTAATATCAAATAACTTTTTATTCTAATCAAAATTAATAAAAATAATGAAGTTTACAATAAATAAATTACGAAACGTTCTTTTTGACAATATAGAGATTGTTAGGTATTTCGGAGTAGGAAATAAGAAAAATAAACTGAAAATTTTTGAGATTCGTACCGCAGAATAGAATAGAATTCAACTGCCTTAGGTAAGTGATTTAACAACTAGCAATCATTTACACAAATTATAATTAGTAACATGTGATGTCTTTCATTACTTTCGAAGCGAAAGTACTTCAGAATTTTTTACAGATGTTGGACGAATATTTTCATTAAATTCAGTTTATGCTTTGAAAGACAATTTGAGAGTTGACAGAAATCAAAAATAAATTATAACATCTTAATAATCCACGTTGTGAAGCACTCGTTAGCCATAAAATATCGAATGATCTCAGCATCAAAGACAACTTTGAAATCAGATCTGTAAGAGTAGACTTGCTTACTTATGGAGGCTAAAGAAAACTGCATACTTCTTGCGCCCAGATAAATATTTAAATTTCTCACCTAATTAAAAAAATTAATATTTGGCTTAATTTGAGTCGTAGAAACGAAATATGGGAAGAAAAGCGGCATATCCTTTCAGAAAAGGTCCAGTTTTGTGTCAAAATACCTATGTTACAACAATACTATATATAAATCTAATATATATCGTAAGTCACGCTTTCCAAACATGAAAAACGCAAATTTAATTTTGTCAATCAGCCCATTAGAATGGGAAATATAGATTTGTCTCTTTTTTTTTTTTTTTTTTTTTTTTTTTTCGTATGCGTGTGTGTGCGCAAGGTGTGCCTTGTAATGGAAAGAGCTCCCGCTACAATGAATGACATTTACTTCTTTCCATCTCTTAGAGTACAGTTTTTAATAAAGACTTAAGTAATTATATTTTTAAAATTACTAATAAAGGACCTGGATCTTTTTCTTTACAAAGAAGGTATTCTTTTTTACATGCATCATAAAGCGAATAATTCTTCAGGTTAGAAACCAAATCAAATAAATATTCTAAAATAATAAATAACTAAATTCAATAAATGTGCTTTTATCTACTATCAGATTACTGTTTCTACACATTTGAAAATTTTCGGTATTTGATGAGCCTGAAGTATTTGATTTTTGAAGTTTCAATATTTTAAAAGCCTGCTTTATTCTTCAGGATGATTTTTTTTTTTGTTTGTTTGTTTATTTTGAGGATTTTCATTCATCATTCTTGAAGGCATTGCTCTATTTCTTACAAGTAAAAATAGAAGTGGGTGAGACACCAGAATTTTGCAGTTGGTCGTACAAATATAGTCTCACCACACTAACAGTGCAGCTCCGCTCCACTTTTGACACAGACCCCCCCCCCGGGAGACAGATCCAAGGGTCTATAGCTTTCGTATAAAGCAAGAGACGTGTAATTTCATCTGTTTTCGAGTGGTATACTACGGACCACCTGCGGCCGAATGGTAAAAGTGCTGAACACTAGTTGTTCGAACGGATTGAAATCCTGGCGAACAGGCTATTGCATAGGAATTGTCATGGTTTTACGCATGTGTAACATGAATGCGGCCCGATTTCCCTTAAATAGTTCTCAGCAAAGACAGCTATCCTCTTAGGCAGGTAATTTTCGCTTTCTTTGCCGTTGACTAAATAATCCAATCTGACTGTTACATAAAACAGTAAAAGACAATTAGCACTGCCTTTAGTCTGTTACTTTAGGCATTTCAAGGGTAATTTTTTCCACATGCTTGTACACAGGTTATACAGGCTTGCTTATAACCTTGTAATGACAGCTGCGATATATGATCGAGTTCTCCAACCGCTTTTTTCCACTTTATTTCCGTTTAGCGTTGAAAAGCGAATGAATAGAGGCTGAGTTGGATTACAGTCTCAAATGATGAGGGGAAAATAAGTGCTACGCGATGTTAACAACACGTGTAACTATCGTAAATAGATGAAGATCTGAAAAGTCCTGAAAAGTCCATTTTAAAGTAACAGACAATAGTTACTTTTAGATTTCGGAACAGGAGTATTCGAATAATTATGTAGGCTGGATAACTGGAATTCGAATAATAGACATTTTACCGTCCTTTTCTAAAGCAAATAATAGAATATATATGTATTAAATCAAATAAAACATAGATTTTAAAATAGTTCATTTTCCAAAAACCCCATTTAGAAGTAATTATTTAGACTACTGCTCTGTTAACTTAAAATCTAAAGCAATCAACTTTTATTCCTTTCATTTTTTAGGAAATGAATTTTCTCTCTTTAAAGAAAGTTCCTTCTAATTTCTTCACTATTTAAGTCTTAAGCGTCTTTTCAATAGTACTTGGAAACCTATAATTTCTTTGGAGATGGAAGTCATAAAACTCCATTTGTTTTTCTGTTTCTAGAATGCATGATTTCGATGAGAACGGAGGGCTTGATGGCATCGAAATGAGAATAGCTTTAGCTCACAGCATGGAGCATTCAGATGACTTTAACCATTCTCCCGAAGCCATTGAACGTAAGTATTTTGTATTCTGGTAAATATTAGATATCCTAAAAAATGATGCAACAAATCTGTATAAAATTACTTCACTTAAATGCTACTGAAGCTCTGCATCGAACTCATAGCCCTCTTCAGGATCGAAAGTGAGAATTTAAAAAGTCTTCTGAATATAATCTTTGAATAATAATAAACATTTCTGAATATTACCAAGTGCAAAAAAAATTATAGTGGAGATTGACTCGAATTTTCTTCACAAACAGAGAAACATTCAAAAACAAGCATACCAGATCAATAACCTGAATACATAATACATATTGACATCAAATCCATCTTTAATTAATTAAATTAATGTTCTAACTTGTTAGATATTATTTACGAACTTTTCAAGTACAAATAACTTAGAGACATTTTTAAAGTTTCCTTTTAAATTTTTAATATTAGCCTAATAAAATGGGGTGGAAGGAAATCCTATTATTTTAGTATATATAGTCAATAAAGTTCGAACTGTTATTATCAAAGCAAATATTACTAGAAAAACAAGTAGCTCTTTCAGTTACGTGCAATACTGTTAGCTGGTGCCGGGTTCGAGGCAAGGCGAAAGGGCTGGCAGCATGGTTGGTTGGTTTTCTAAGTTTTTGCCATGCTTGCGATATTCTCGGCAATACAAGACTAGACTAGACTTGAATTTGACTCAGGCACTTCCTTTTAGCCTGTGACCGAAGACAAATAGACTTTAAAAATTTTCTTAGGTTGCTGATATTTATGTTTTTGAAGTATACTGAAGCGTCGATAAAAATATTTGTTCCCAGAATCTATAGTATTAAAATATGTGCGCGTCTATTCATTAAATACCAAAACGAAATTAATAGCCCTTCTGGGCTAATGCCCTTTGTCCTAAACGAAATAATGTTCATCGCCTAACGCCGAAACATGTTTCTCAGAGTAAGAATATGTGCAAATTGCTGTATGAAAATTATTTGGGAGGTGAAAAATGGAAATATATAGTTTCAATTTATGAGGCTTGGATATGCTTATTTGACCGCAATAGAAAAAGATCGATTTACTACCGAAAAGAGGAGAAAAAGACTTAATATGTTGGTTCAGAGAAAATAAGGAAAGTTTTTATGGTTATTACTGCATTTTCATAACGGAAAACTTAAAATAAGGAAAATAAAAAAAATTGTCAAAATAATTCGGATGACTATCAGAAATATGTTTTAGCCCCTATTTTTAAAGAATAAATTCCATCTCTTTATCCAAACAATCTTCTTTGTGTTAAGTTCCATTAGGATACGGCTCGAAGCCATACCTCTAAATCTACCGCTCTATTTTTTGAAAAAATGAGAAATGAAACTGGAATTGAAGCTATTCCCTTTAAATGCATTCCACCCAAGTCCCTGATATGTCTCCTATGTATTACTGTGCATTTGGAATTTTAAAACAAGCTCTTTATAAGCGGCATCACAAAATATTGAATGGATTCGAAAAGATTATGAAGGAGGAGTGGAATAAAATCAAGTTTGTTGTTTTAAGAAAAGGATTTTTATCTTGGAAATCAATATGTAATATGATACTTTAACAAAAGGGCTATTTAAAGCATTAAAAAGTAAAATTTCAAGATTTGTTTCGATATGAATCTTTGCAAATTCGTTACAAAAACGTGTGAACACCCTCTGTATACAATCAAATTAAGTATATCCGTACACGTCTGTATTCAATAAAAGTAACTAAATAAAATCATACCATAACATACTTTTAATAATAACTTTATGTATTCAAAAAATTAATTTGTGTAAATGTTTAGAACTTTTAAATGAAAACTTTAAAAATTACTTCTTTCTTACATAGCAAATAGTACTTAAATAATGTAAATAGTACTACAATATTATATTAATAATCCAACTCTTTTTGTAATTTCATTTTTCTTGCTTTTAATGAAATAAAATCCACAATAATTATTTAAAAAATCTACTTCATTATTTAATTTATGTTCTACGCAGTGATATTTGAATGTCTTTTAAGGGAAAGGAGAAAGAGCGTTTTTGAAGTTTTTTTTTAAGCTTTTTCCATCCTAATATTAGAAAAGGGCATCTTTAAAAGTATTCTTAATGTACTTTCGAATTTCAGATGTGATTGAACTAGATATCATTGCTGTATTATCTTTACAAGACCTAATTTTGCTTCTACCAGAATTATTGGAATAGTATGGTTTTTAAAACAGATATTTCTGATGGAATATCTGAAGCATTTTCATTATTTAGATTAAGTGCTAAGCTGCTTATTTTTAAAATACTCAAATCCCATGACATTAATTTTTCATCAGTCAGAAACTGAAAATCTGAAATTGCCGCGTTTATTTTTTATATCTTGGTTTTAGATTTGAGATTAAAATATATCTTGTTTCTTTCATTTTTACTCTGAAAATTATTTTTCTTATAAAACTAGTTCTTTTTTCAATTGATTATTAACAGTTTGATATATAAACATATCTTTTTCATTCCTTTTCATATTTAAAGTGGAATTTTCACATTTCGCAAGATCGTAAAGAAACAAAAATTCGTTCTGCTGTGTTTGTTTGTTTAATTAAATATGCAAAACATGCAAGGACTATTTGTCTAAATGGAGAGATTCCTTCGTGGAGGACTTTCTAGCGGATGCAGACAGTCATTTATCGGGATTCGATATTAGACCAACCCTTCTATTGAGCGCAGAATTTTTGTGCGCAAATGTTGAAGAATATAACACCCTTTTATGGCTTTAACTAGTATGGTACTTCGAAATGGTGCCTTTCGATACGTTTCAAAACTGAAAGTAAATGATCATAATTTGTTTTTAAAATGCATTTAAATTTTAAAATTTCGCATCTAATTTGGCACCCCTCATAGCCGTTCACCCGAGGCAAGTGCCTCATTTGCCACACCTTTGCCCCGGCTATGATAATAAACCAAAACAAACTGCTGAGAAAAGAAAAAAACTTTGGAAACCCCAAAAATTTGCAGCTCTGTCTCTTACAGGGTGCTCGCAATAATAGGGTCAATTTTCTCATGAAATTAGCGGATATACTACACTTTCGAATTTGTTTGTACTTGTATAAAAGCAAATTCAGCTTAAATTAATTTCGAATATAATTCGTTGTTTTTTCATTTATTAACTATGAAATAAATTAGTATCCCCAAATTTTGACATAGAGGTTGTTGCGATTTGGAAAAAGTTAAGGAAATTCAAAATTATAAAAAAATATCTGTATTCGATTTTTAACTTTCCATTTTCTATCAGCATATAAAAATAAAGAAAATAAAATAGAGATATTTCAGACCTGTAATAAATCAAGTTTTAATGCTATAAAGTATTAAAATATTTAATTAAACATTTGATAAATGGAATAAATATAGTGCATTCCTATAGGAATAAATTAGAGTTATATCAATGGATTATTTAAATACATTCTGAAAAGCCTTCTCTTTTTCTGCGCCAAAAGCTCTTTTCCCCGTTTTGGATGAACTCCAAGGAATTCATCATGTCTAAGTTATTTTAGATTAGATTAGATGAAAGGTATTGTTAGTGCTCGTTTAAGTAAGTGCTCATTAATTTCCCCTATCACCAGTAGGCTCATGCATGGCAGAAAGAGAGGAAAAGTTTTTCCTAAATATTTTACAGCATATATTTTACGTATATCGATTCATTTCAATCTTTTTGAGGCTTGTAAAAGGCGAAATAACCTTGGAAATGTTAAATAGTGTTTTACTTCAAACTGCGTCTCTGAGGTGAATTGCAATTGATCCATGTTACCTTCAGTAGATTAAAGTGGTTCCCTATTATAGCCCACCTCCATATACTACGATTTGGGATATTATGCAGATGTTACCTAAAATCGCTTGCACATAATGATTCTTCAAGCAATAATATATCACTGTGGGAAGAACGTGGTCTCTAAATACGTTTAGGTGTTTATACTCTGATAATTTAAAAAGTGATTTTGCTCGAATTTCAAAACCATCCGCCATAGTTCTGATAGCCGAGACAGAATTTTACAGGAATATTATAAAAAAACCAAATAACAATTGAAAATTTTAGGAATAATTGTTAAAAAAATTACTTTGAATGCTCATAATTCAAATATTAAAGAATGAAACATACGCATTTACTTTTTTGTGTATAGTGCGTTTTGTAACATGTACTGTTTTATGCTATTTACTACGTAATTTGCTGGCGGAAATGCATAAAAAGGCATCTTAAAATTATCATTAAAAATAAACTTATTTTCTCAGATTATTTTAGCATAAGTTAGGTTCACCAGCGGTCAAACGGTAAAGTTGCTGAACACTTGTAGTTTGCCTCGGGTTCGAATCCCAGTGGATGAACCTTTTCTCGATTTTCCCCGTGTGAGACGTGAATACGACCCCTATACGAAAACGTCCCTCCCCTTAAGAAGATAGCCCTTACTGCTTTCCTGTAATCAACCAAACTATGTAATACGAATTGTTTTCTTCAGTTCATGCAACCTCTGTAAACCTCTGTAAGATGACTGTCCACATTTCAGATGATCTTGATCTTCTGTGGTGGTAGTTGTTTTGGAGAGAGGTTGCGTTTATACCGATGTTTATATATATTGCTAAAAGTACTCGACATTTTCAGAAGTGGTCGTCTTAGAGAGATGGTCGCTAAGAGACGTGTTTGCTGCATTCATTTTTAGCTCTAAGGGGCATTAGCCCAGAAGGGCTATTAGTCATGAAATGGCATTTTGCGTCGAATCACTAAGTCTTAAATCACTTTTCAGATTGCTGCCACCAAATATTATCGCTCTGTATCATATTTAAAGAATTTAAATAATGAAGAATCTGCATGAATGAATGTATGTTTCTCGCATCGTGGAAAAACAACGGTATCTAGAGCCATCAAATTTTGAATAACGTAGTCCTCCACCCGAACATGGGCACCTGGAAGCCCGAATTTTAAATTTCGAATTTGTTTTATAATCTATTTCGCATTTTGTAAAACTTTAAAGAACTTTTGAT